ACTGAGGTGAATGTTATAAAGGCTAAGTACAACTGTGTTTGTTTGTTTGTTGTTTAACGTTGGTCTCAGCAATACTCCAGCTATATGACGGCGGTCTGTAAACAATCGAGTCTGGACCAGACAATCCAGTGCTTGACATCATGAGCATCGATTTACGCAATTGGGATACGATGACATGCATCAACCAAGTCAGCCAGCCTGACCACCCGATCCCGTTAGTCGCCTCTTACGACAAGCATAGTCACCTTTTACGGCAAGCATGGGTTGGTGAAGACCTATGTGTATTCTACCCCGGATCTTCACGGGAGACAGATAAGATTACAACAATCAGATGAACACCCAATATAGGTATCCCCCGGCAGGCAATGCGTTACATGCTATACCCCTTCCCAGTAGTCAGTGCTAATCAATAAAGCCGACTTATGACGACTAGGTGGTCAGCATGTGTAACCTGGCTTACAGTGAGTGAGTTGGGTTTAACGCTGCTTTTAACAGTATTCCAGTTATAGCGCGGCGTGTCAGCTTAATGTGGAGGGAAGCTCGAAAGGATGCAAGTCTCAGGCGTTTACCACTTAGGTGAAACCCACGAGCACGGGTATGGTGCTGACAAACCTCGAAACATAATCGGGGCGAACCGGGATTCGAACCCACAATCATAGATTTCTGGGGTGCCCAAGGGACGCAACTCTGCACAGATATCGCGGCGCCTTAGACGACTGGGCCACCCGTGCCACCCCTGGCTGACAGTGTATATCGCTTCTTATTTTGTTAACCTAGTTGTTAAAGCGTTCACTCGTCCCGCCGAAGACCCGGGTTCGAATCTCCACATGGATACAATGTGTAAAGCCCATTTCTGATGTTCCCGTGTTATTGCTGGGATATTGCTCAAAGCGGCGTGAAACCATACACACTCACTCACTGATTCTGGTTTGGGTGGAGAATTAAGGGACTGCCTGGGCGGAGCTTTAATATTGATGGCTGTTGCGTAATCAACGTTCACTTACACATTCTCACGTCAACTCCGAAATTGTTAACTTACTCGAGCAGCCTCGTATGTCCCTGTAGTCGGGGAGAACCAGTAGCAGGATTTCCCATGCAGGACGAAACTCTGGGGGCATTGTAGACCTGTGCGAATGAACAACGGTTGATTCATGAGTGAGTGAATGAGTGAGTTTGGTTTTACGCCGAATTTAGCAATATTCCAGCAATATTACGGCGGGGCTTCACATTGTACCCATGTCGGGATTCGAACCCGGGTCTTCGGCGTGACGAGCGAACGCTTTAACCACTAGGCTATCCGACCGTCCCTGTTCATGATTTATGAACAAAACTGCACTTGCACTTGCACTTGCACTTGCACTTGCACAATATGCACACTTCACTCCGCTCATTACTGTGTTTTGTGAAATTACGACCCGATGCTCCTTGAGAAACAAACAGAAGCCCACGTCAGACAACATGAGGACTTAAACAATACCTTGTACTCTCAGAAACAAACAGACACCCACAGCAGACAGGATGAGGACTTAAACAATACTTTGTACTCTCAGAAACAAACAGACACCCACAGCAGACAGGATGAGGACTTTAACAATACCTTGTACTCTCAGAAACAAACAGACACACACAGCAGACAGGATGAGGGTTTAAACAATACCTTGTACTCGCAGAAACAAACAGACACCCACAGCAGACAGGATGAGGGTTTAAACAATACCCTGTACACGCAGAAACAAACAGACACACCCACAGCAGACAGGATGAGGGTTTAAGCAATACCTTGTACACGCAGAGACAAACAGAAGCTCACAGCAGACAGGATGAGGGTTTAAACAATACCTTGTACTCGCAGAAACAGACACCCACAGCAGACAGGATGGGGGTTTAAACAATACCCTGTACATGCAGACACAAACAGAAGCCCACAGCAGACAGGATGAGGGTTTAAACAATTCTTTGTACTCTCAGAAACAAACAGACACCCACAGCAGACAGGATGAGGGTTTAAACAATTCTTTGTTCACGCAGAAACAAACAGACACCCACAGCAGACAGGATGGGGGTTTAAACAATACCTTGTACTCGCAGAAACAAACAGACACCCACAGCAGACAGGATGGGGGTTTAAACAATACCCTGTACATGCAGAAACAAACAGAAGCCCACAGCAGACAGGATGAGGGTTTAAAGAATACCTTGTACTCTCAGAAACAAACAGACACCCACAGCAGACAGGATGAGGGTTTAAACAATTCTTTGTACACGCAGAAACAAACAGACACCCACAGCAGACAGGATGAGGGTTTAAACAATACCTTGTACTCGCAGAAACAAACAGACAACCGCATCAGACAGGAGGAGGGTTTAAACAATACCTTGTACACGCAGAAACAAACAGAAGCCCACAGCAGACAGGATGAGGACGCCGTGTGTTTCCATGCTGCAGTTGTCTTTTCGGCAATGGAGGCTACAGCTTCACTCCTTCCATATAACCATGTCGGGTGTGAGATTCGTGATGACGCTGAGTGTTACTGAGACATTAGGGAGGGATCATAAATTAAGACGTGTAGTATTTAATATGTATTTACCTGCAACAGCCTGATATATTTGCTCACCGGCATTTTCCGATAGGGCTTCAGCAGGTGCAGCTGAAAGTTAAACATGTATTTGAGTTTTGAGTTGACTGTTGTGACCATACTCTAAAAAAAGGAACTTTTTTACATTTTCTACTTTCAGCAATTATTCAGTCTTACTGAATCAGTAAAAGAGCATCTTCGTGGCGTCTGTTCGGTGAGTGTGGGTCGGGGGTTCGATTCCCTGCTGCGTCAAAACAATAGATGTTAAAACATAGCACTTGTTGTTACCCTGCCTGGTGTTAGGCCTTAGGGGTTCAAAACAAGTACTTGGCGGCTCGGGTCAGTAGTGGAGCATCCATGTTAGCCTGCGGCATGATATCTAACTGGGCTAGCACATACACGTGGTATTAGTCCAGACTAGTCCGAGCAGACACACACCATGCAGACACATGTGTTGTGTGACACCGTATACCATGCAGACACATGTCTTGTGTGACACCGTATACCATGCAGACACATGTGTTGTATGACACCGTGTACCATGCAGACATATGTGTTGTGTGACACCGTGTACCATGCAGACATGTGTGTTGTGTGACACCGTATACCATGCAGACATATGTGCTCTGTAACACCGTGTACCATGCAGACATATATGTTGTGTGACACCGTGTACCATGCAGACACATGTGTTGTGTGACACCGTATACCATGCAGACATATGTGCTCTGTAACACCGTGTACCATGCAGACATATATGTTGTGTGACACCGTGTACCATGCAGACATATGTGTTGTGTAACACTGTGTACCATGCAGACATATGTGCTGTGTGACACCGTGTACCATGCAGACACCTGTGTTGTGTGACACCGTGTACCATGCAGACATATGTGTTGTGTGACACCGTGTACCATGCAGACATATGTGTTGTGTGACAACGTATACCATACAGACATATGTGTTGTGTGACACCGTATACCATGCAGACATATGTGTTGTGTGACACCGTGTACCATGAAGACACATGTGTTGTGTGACACCGTGTACCATGCAGACATATGTGCTGTGTGAAACCATGTACCACGCAGACATTTGTGCTGTGTGACACCGTGTACCATGCAGACATTTGTGCTGTGTGACACCGTGTACCACGCAGACATGTGTGCTGTGTGACACCATGTACCATGCAGACATATGTGTTGTGTGACACCGTGTACCATGCAGACATATGTGTTGTGTGACACCATGTACCATGCAGACATATGTGTTGTGTGACACCGTGTACCATGCAGACATATGTGTTGTGTGACACCGTGTACCATGCAGACATATGTGTTGTGTGACACCATGTACCATGCAGACATTTGTGCTGTGTGACACCGTGTACCACGCAGACATATGTGCTGTGTGACACCGTGTACCATGCAGACATATGTGTTGTGTGACACCGTGTACCACGTAGACATGTGTGTTGTGTGACACCGTGTACCACGCAGACATATGTGTTGTGTGACACCGTGTACCATGAAGACATATGTGTTGTGTGACACTGTATACCACGCAGACATATGTGCTGTGTGACACCGTATACCATACATACATATGTGTTGTGTGACACCGTGTACCATGCAGACATATGTGATGTGTAACACCATGTACCATGCAGACATATGTGCTGTGTGACACCATATACCATGCAGACACATGTGTTGTGTGACACCGTGTACCATGCAGACATATGTGCTGTGTGACACTGTGTACCATGCAGACATATGTGCTGTGTGACACCGTGTACCATGCAGACATATGTGTTGTGTGACACTGTGTACCACGCAGACATATGTGCTGTGTGACACCATGTACCATGCAGACATATGTGCTGTGTGACACCATGTACCACGTGGACATATGTGCTGTGTGACACCGTGTACCATGCAGACATATGTGCTGTGTGACACTGTGTACCATGCAGACATATGTGTTGTGTGACACCGTGTACCATGCAGACATATGTGTTGTGTGACACTGTGTACGATGCAGACATATGTGTTGTGTGACACTGTGTACCATTCAGACATATGTGTTGTGTGACACTGTGTACCATGCAGACATATATGTTGTGTGACACTCTGTACCATGCAGACATATATGTTGTGTGACACCGTGTACCATGCAGACATATTTGTTGTGTGACACCGTGTACCATGCAGACATATGTGTTGTGTGACACCGTATACCATGCAGACATATATGTTAAGTGACACCGTATACCATGCAGACATCTATGTCATATGAAACCATGTACCACCCAGACATATGTGCTGTGTGACACCGTGTACCATGCAGACATATGTGCTGTGTGACACCTGGTACCACGCAGACATATGTGTTGTGTGACACCGTATACCATGCAGACATATGTGTTGTGTGACACTGTGTACCATGCAGACATATGTGTTGTGTGACACCGTGTACCATGCAGACATATGTGTTGTGTGACACCGTGTACCATGCAGACATATTTGTCATGTGACACCGTGTACCATGCAGACATATGTGTTGTGTGACACCATGTACCATGCAAACATATGTGCTGTGTGACACCGTGTACTATGCAGACATATGTGTTGTGTGACACCAAGTACCAAGCAAACATATGTGCTGTGTGACACCGTATACCACGCAGACATATGTGTTGTGTGACACCGTGTACCATACAGACATATGTGTCATGTGACACCGTGTACCATGCAGACATGTGTGCTGTGTGCCACCGTGTACCATGCAGACATTTGTGCTGTGTGACACCGTGTACCATGCAGACATTTGTGCTGTGTGACACCGTGTACCATGCAGACATTTGTGCTGTGTGACACCGTGTACCATGCAGACATTTGTGCTGTGTGACACCATGTACCACGCAGACATGTGTGCTGTGTGACACCGTGTACCATGCAGACACATGTGTTGTGTGACACCGTGTACCACGTAGACATGTGTGTTGTGTGACACCGTGTACCATACAGACATATGTGTTGTGTGACACCGTATACCATGCAGACATATGTGCTGTGTGACACTGTGTACCATGCAGACATATGTGTTGTGTGACACCGTATACCATGCAGACATATGTGTTGTGTGACACCGTGTACCATGCAGACATATGTGTTGTGTGACACTGTGTACCATGCAGACACATGTGCTTTGTGACACCGTGTACCATGCAGACATATGTGTTGTGTGACACTGTGTACCATGCAGACATATGTGTTGTGTGACACCTTGTACCATGCAGACATATGTGTTGTGTGACACCATGTACCATGCAGACATTTGTGCTGTGTGACACCGTGTACCATGCAGACATGTGTGCTGTGTGACACCGTGTACCATGCAGACACATGTGTTGTGTGACACCGTGTACCACGTAGACATGTGTGTTGTGTGACACCGTGTACCATGCAGACATATGTGTTGTGTGACACCGTGTACCATGCAGCCATATGTGTTGTGTGACACCGTATACCATGCAGACATATATGTTGTGTGACACCGTATACCACGCAGACATATGTGTTGTGTCACACTGTGTACCATGCAGACATATGTGTTGTGTGACACTGTGTACCATGCAGCCATATGTGTTGTGTGACACCGTATACCATGCAGACATATATGTTGTGTGACACCGTGTACCACGCAGACATATGTGTTGTGTCACACTGTTTACCATGCAGACATATGTGTTGTGTGACACCGTATACCATGCAGACATATGTGTTGTGTGACACTGTATACCATGCAGACATATGTGTTGTGTGACACCGTATACCATGCAGACATATGTGTTGTGTGACACCGTATACCATGCAGACATATGTGTTGTGTGACACTGTATACCATGCAGACACATGTGTTGTGTGACACTGTATACCATGCAGACATATGTGTTGTGTGACACTGTATACCATGCAGACATATGTGTTGTGTGACACTGTATACCATGCAGACACATGTGTTGTGTGACACTGTATACCATGCAGACATATGTCCTGTGTGACACTGTATACCATGCAGACACATGTGTTGTATGACACTGTATACCATGCAGACATATGTGTTGTGTGACACTGTATACCATGCAGACGTATGTGTTGTGTGACACTGTATACCATGCAGACATATGTGTTGTGTGACACTGTATACCATGCAGACATTCGTGTTGTGTGACACCGTGTACCATGCAGACATATGTGTTGTGTGACACCGTGTACCATGCAGACATTTGTGTTGTGTGACACTGTATACCATGCAGACACATGTGTTGTGTGACACTGTATACCATGCAGACATATGTGTTGTGTGACACTGTATACCATGCAGACACATGTCCTGTGTGACACTGTATACCATGCAGACATATGTCCTGTGTGACACTGTATACCATGCAGACATATGTGTTGTGTGACACTGTATACCATGCAGACATATGTCCTGTGTGACACTGTATACCATGCAGACACATGTGTTGTATGACACTGTATACCATGCAGACACATGTGTTGTATGACACTGTATACCATGCAGACATATGTGTTGTGTGACACTGTATACCATGCAGACATGTGTGTTGTGTGACACCGTGTACCATGCAGACATATGTGTTGTGTGACACCGTGTACCATGCAGACATATGTGCTGTGTGACACCGTGTACCATGCAGACATATGTGTTGTGTGACACCGTGTACCATGCAGACATATGTGTTGTGTGACACAATATACCACGCAGACATATGTGCTGTGTGACACCGTGTACCATGCAGACATGTGTGTTGTGTGACACCGTGTACCATGCAGACATATATGTTGTGTGACACCGTGTACCATGCAGACATATGTGTTGTGTGACACTGTAT